TAATAACTAACAACAATAATAAATTACATAGCTAAATCAGATTTACCAAAGGTCCAAGTTTAACAAACTCACCGATCTCCTTGCTGTCTGCCACTTCGACCTGGCAAAAAGGTCAGGTTTCAACGAACATCCGTCCATCGACAGGGGAAACAGGGGACACTGCACAGGTGCTAGTCATGGTGAAAAATAGTGAGTCCACCAAAAATTGAAGATACTATTAAAAATTATCTTATTATGATACCCTGTATAGTATATTATATTATAGTGAACGATAGTAGCATCTTCCATTTTAAGCTGAGAACTAGACCAAATGATGAGGAAAGCTGGCGGCTCGACAGGTTGGCTGGTTGGTGATTGAATCCACGCATCCCAACAATATTGGTTGACTAAAAAAAAACAGCTACCCTCTGGTAAACATACAAAACTATGAAAAATCACCATTTTTAATGGGAAAATCCACTATAAATGGTCATTTTCAATAGCTATGTTAAATTACCAGAGTGTATCGTGGATGGAGAATCAGGATACAGTGATTGATACCATGAAGCGACTGAGTTTTAGCTGGCTATGCACTTGAAGGAAGCGAATACCAGCCGCGGGCATTGCCGCAAAGACAACCCAGCAAGAACTCAATCTGTACCGGCGGTCTCACCTCTGGTTTGGGATTCGTGATTAGCAAACTTTTGTCGTTTGTGAATCATTGCAGTGCAGCTTCTTCAAAACTGCCATGTGTGCGTCAAGATGGTGGCCAAGATGACAAGCAGTCCCCAAGGGACATGCTGGCTTTGCCTCTCTGAAAACTGGGACAAAATGGGACAAATGTTATCAAATGTTGTTGCTGCATCATTTTCCAGCTTGCGACTTAAGGGTTGCACTGTGTTCTAACTTGTTACACTTGAAGAGGGCTCTATTTCCGCCTAATCGTAGAAGGGAAATCTATGGAATCCCCCCCTTGCAATCGGACAAATCATCTTTCGGAGGTTTCAGCAATGGGTTGGTTTTTTCAGGCCCTGTCGGATGTGAATGATCTATAATGGATGAAAATGGTCTTATGATTACCCGGTGTAATAAGCATCAATATATAATCATCAACTTTGCTAATTATAGTAAATATAACCATCAATAATCATCAATAACCTGGGAATGATCATCAATATCAGCCGCACATATCCAAATCATCCCATTATCATCGGTCCCTTCTCTCCAACCATCACCCACCCCACCTGTGTTCCTTGCATCGGCAGCCTGTCGTGCAGAAACATGGCAATCCAGGGAAAAATCCTCTGGAGATCCCACATGGCAATGGGGAAATCGCACTTTTCAGTGCTTTTCAGTTGGAATCATGGAAAAATCCTGGAACAGATTTTTGAAAATTCTGAGCGTCCACATTTTTTTGGTGAACTAACCCCTGAAAATTGAGATGATGCCGGATACCCCCCAAAAAAGGGGCTTTGTAGTTTGATTTTCTTGGTGGAAACTGCTAAGATTATTTTTTGGGTTCCATCGGGCCCTGCGAGAACCTGGCTATTGGCAGAATCACTGGAAAGGACTTTAGTCTCAAAAGCGGAGGCCCGAAGATTTCGGAAAAAAATCAAAAGGATTTTGCATAACCAATAACATGCACCCCTGTTTCTTTCCATGAAGTTGTTCACTTGTTATCAGTCCTCAGCCCTCAAAAACAAACTGAAGTTTTGGCTGCGAAAAACTGTCAAGACCAAAATGCATTGTCCAGACCAGCAAGTGGTCTACTCATTTGGGATTTGCAACAAAGACGTCAGTAGCTGCGTCATCTTTGCTTGACGAACCTCAATAGAGGTGACAATCAAAAATGACTTGAAACTCCGGAGTGAAACTCTGAAATCCGTCAGCTTCTCAAGTACCTTGGCAATCACCTGAATGTTCTTAATGTCCTGCAAAGTAGTGACAATGTCCAGCCTCAAATGGAGACGCTTCGCAACCTTCGCAACCTTCGCAACCTTGGAGCTCACAGGGTTTCAGTCTTGGTGGCTTTTCCACCTCGGAGTCGACGACCTTGAACTTCAATGGCGTCCTTTTGGGCAATCGCGGCGTTCTGTTAGAATTTACCATCAGTCTTGGTGTCTTCGGCTCCGTTCTTGAACATACAGTAGGAATTTCGTTTGGAACTAGTCGGCGATCGTGGCTCCCAGGTTAGCAGCTGACTTGATGTCATCTCAATCTGGTGGTTTGAACGGTCAAATTGGACCATGATGGACTTGACGGTGCCATCAATGCTGGTTCTGACAAGCTCTGGACCAACAGATGTGCAACACACCAGGAGTCTACCCATGGTCCCATCGACCAACGCGTGGGAAAACAGAGATGCCGGGACCAGGGATGATTTGTATACAAATATAATATATATATATATATAATATATATAATATAATATATATATAGAGAGAGAGAGAGATTAACCCATTATCACGTATGTAATCTGTATATATGTATATATTATAAAGATATATAGATATAGACATATGCAATCTGAACCATGATCACGTTGGGTTGTTTCCCTTACCACCATTCAAACGGGGCTTTGTCGCTGGCTTCCTGGCCGACACACTGCAATCCTGCCTGGAGTTCAGCTGGCGCGGGGGAGTTGGAGGGCTACGAACCGCACCGATGAAGCATTCCCCTTGGCAGAAATGGGCACCATTGATTCATTGATGAGTCCAAGAGCCCCAGAGCCGCCGAGCATGGGGATCCCATAGGAAGGACAAAAGCCAGCAAGGTGATACACCAGACATATTCGCATGGGCTTAGCCACCTAGCGTCCCATGAAAGGTAGCCGGACCTGGCTTTAAGATCAAAGTAAACTATGAAGAAAGATTCCGGACATGTGCGATCTTGGCTATATATTACATCTATATATATATATATATTGTATATTTATGTATTATATCATTCCATATTTAATCAGTTTATGAATCCCACATCTGCAACCATCAACCAACAGAGGTCTAACCTACCGTAAGCAGTTCTCATCATTGGCTCCCCCGCCCGTCAAGACTGCCAGCAGGGTCAGCACAAGGCACCTGGCAGTGAGGATGAAAGGATGGGGATATAACCAGCTGTTCAATGGGAGATCTCCAGGATCCTAAAATGGAGGTACTGTACCATATAAGGCCATATTTTGGGGGTATATTCCCTTACATTAAGCCTTATATATGGTAGGTACCTCCAATTTGGGTTCCTGGAATGGCCATTGAGCTATTTTATTGCGGAAAATATAGGGGATGTAGTGGAGATACAATGTGGCTATATCTAGAGGATATCTGTGCTGATACTGATTCATGGTTTCAATGCATATGAAAATATTGCTCGTCAATGGGGATTATCATCCCAAATAGATAAATAGGACGGACAAAAAAAATATGCCAAACCACCAGCAAGTGGAAGATAGTGGAAGTGCCTTGCACCAGTCGGAGATAAGAATCAGCTATAAAAACGCTGGTGTTTGTTGCTTTCTGACACGCAAGATGTCGGTGAAAGATCGGGTTGTCAATTTGGAGGTTCAACAAGCCTTCAGAGACACCATCACCAAAAAGGGCAACGGAACCACAAAAAAAAAGCTTGGCGCTATACTTCTTTCAGCAACCGAGAGAAAACAAGATTCACCTTACCAATCCCCAAACTTGGGACCATAATCTACGAAACTCACAATGAACTCCACATCTACCAACGCTTGTGGATGGTTTTCTAATCCCTTCATACCAAGCTATTTCGCATGCCCGCGGCACGACAGGATTGGCTTCCGAGAGACCTCGCGTGCGCAAAAGATCCGTAGCGGCCACCAGTGCGTGGATTGTTTCACCATGCACCCTTCATGAAGAGAACATAAGAGAATAACATATTACCAGTATATATTAATATATATATATATGTACGTATATATATATATACATATATATATATATACAGAGATCTACAGAGATAAAGATTTCGGTGAACGCCCCTAGTTCTTGGGCTGGTTTGACCCCACAGCTTCGGCCTTTTTTCCATTGGGGGCATGACAACCACCAAGTGCCATTGGCCATTCAACAAAAACATAAGGGGGTTCATACCCATGCTCTCCATGGTGCCGGTATATTTATTCACCTACAAACATGGATGATGTTGGGGGATAATGTAAATCCATACACCATGCATGGATGATCTGGGATTTGGAACCTGGGAAAACAAAATCCAGGAAAAGAAAAGAGGATGCACAACAAGCACAAGCACTAAAGTTTCTTGTATGATGGTGGGAATCATCGAAAGAGGGCGCTATGCTTGCCCTGAATTCGGCCTGTACACTTGGGCATAGGTTGAAATTCTGAAGTACAAAAATTGCATGAATCAATCATGCAAAATCACAAGAAAATGCAAATTAAAATGGCAACATATCGCAACCATGTGGGGCTGTCCGCATCTCTCCAAGACTACCTCTTTTAACCACCTCACACCTCGCCAAATCTCTGAGGCTGGCACGGCCATTGCGAACACAGCGATGCGATTGGTGCAGGTGGCTCAGGGCACAAGGTAGGCAAAGCGAAGGTGCGAAGTCTGGCAACTGCGACGTGTCTCTGATCTCCGAAGTCTATGAAGTCCACAGGTTTCTAGTTGTTTTTCGCTTTCACATGATTGCTGTGTCACTAGCACCTATCTGGTGCAGCTGCTGCGGAAACAAGGTCAGTGCTTGACATTTCTTGGAATCTTCAAAGGGCACCTGCAAGCTGTTTCAATCTTCTGTCCAAAGCTCTCAGATTGCCAGTGGTGTTATTATCGATCTGGTTATTGACACCCCCAGTTGACTTTTAATTTGTTGGGAAGTCAATACAGCTATACATGATTTGGGTATGGGTCAAAATTAGGTACCCCAATAATTGGATGGTTAATACTAAACTAGACTAACATCTGTGGTCCCCTAGGTCTTCCATTTTGACCCACATCCATTTGTTTATATTCTATTCTTTCCTATGCTTTGAGACCCTGAACTTCTATCCCCATCCGAAGGTTTCCAGGGAATACCGACGCAAGCAGCACTGTTGGGTGCTCATTTTGTTGACCTCCGGCACTGTTGGTTGCTCTAACGGCCGCAAATAGAAGCAGTGAGCCTGGGCATTGGCCGCGCTTTGGCAGTTCATGAAAACTTGCACAAACAAGGGGTTCATCAGCAAAAAAACTTCTTCAGCAAGAGAGATGGGGTCTAACAGTCTAACAAACAAAGAACGGTTGACAGTGACCAACGAAAATGGGGCTCTCAACCAACAGAAAAGAAAACTTCATCAAGCAAAATGACGGACAATGACCCAACAAGCAAACATGGTGACCAACAAAATGAGGATCTAACAACAATGAGGGGTTAGAAAAGTAAAACATGAGCCTGATTCAGCGAATGCTGGACAACATGTCTTTGATTCGGCCAACCATTCCGGCAGTTGATGGCTCGTATATGTCAGGAAACCGGTGGTCTCCCCCTCAAGGTAGAACCAGGCTGAACCATCGAGGGTGTCTGTTCTTGCAGGTGAAATCCCCAAGTTTTCCTTGGTTCATTTGCCAACTGTTGATGGTTGGATTAGAATGGATTAGATTCATCATACTTAATCCCAAAAAACATCAAAAAGCATGGGTGTTCAAACCCTTAAAATGGCAGAACTTTTTTTAAGTAAATCTAAGTAAGTAGTTTGACCCATACCCACATGATCGTTCAACCAACAGGCGGTTGACTGGTTGCATGATAGGGGTTCCCATATTATTGGATTGTGATGACAATCCTCATTCAACCAGTTAGTAGAATGCCATATAGCTCATGACCATTACCACGAACCACTAGGGATGTTGGGCATTGTTGCGCTCGGGTATGTCCCAACTATGGGTTTCCCTACCACAAGTGGATAAGTTGTTTGGTGATTTTCGGGGGTTCAGGCAGACAAAGCCAATTAAGTTTGGAATGGAGCACATACATCCTCTGCTATTGACACATCCCTATTGTTTTTTGATTCTCTCCATGATCAGCTTTTGACCTCCTTGTTTGTTGTTTTCCGAAGACTTCTCGGCTCCCTGTAACTATTCGCTGTCTGTATCTTCATTGGGATACGAGCGTTTTCATTTTATCCTAGGACAAGTATATCTTAGTTGTGACATCCAAAAATGAAAAGAATACACGAGACTACTGTATACTACCGTTTCCAAGTCTGTGTGTGTGGTGTCTGCCCAATACCCAACCCTCCACGTTTGATGCATACGATCCCCCATGTTTTCTGTTAACCCCCGTGAGTCAATCTAGCTTTGGGATATACAGTATGTTACAAACAAATTGATGAAGTATATTGAAGTATATTTTGCGGCTGGTGAGAATCACATTCCAACTGTTGCTGGTAACAGGCGGACCTTTGGTGGCTTAAACCAAGGTTTTAGATTTCCCTTTGTAAAATCCCCATGTCTTTGGCTTAAGCATCAAACTTGCTAGCGAAAACACCAATGCTATGGCTTGAAGACCCATTTGTTCTCATAAAATTTGCAATGTTTGCTGCTTCAAATGCCCAAATATGCGCTTGTCTAAAAGTGGGGTTCCCCAAACCAATTTACTTTGGGCCCCCTATAGATGTGTTCCCTCTAGATTCACCAAATGGTAGGTCGTCCATCGGGAAAAAAAACCTTAAGCAAACCGAGGAAACTAGTGGGACAAGCATTATATTGGGGGTTAAGTGGGGACAATGCAGCTATAAGAAAATTTCTCCCATCTCCCCCCTATGAAATACCATGGTTCATACCCCCAAAAAGATGAACGATCACAGGGGCCCGCACCCAAGAGCTGCTGATGCGAGCCAGACCCAACTTGCTGTGCCAACCTGGGAAGCTGTGCCAACCAGAAATACATCCGCTTCAGGCTGTTGAAAGTAGATCTATTAGGTGTACCAATGGATACCCATGGGCTAGATGGCTAGATTATCGAATCCCCATAAGTTTGGATACAACTTGATACGACCCTTGCAATGGGCGGCCATGTACCCACGCAACTTGAGTGGAACTGCACCTCTCGGTCTATCCCCGGAGAGTCTAACGTGGAATCCAACTGAACGTCGCATCAGAATCATGAGAAAATGATATGCCTCTTAAATTCCAGGATTCCTCCAGGATGATGTCTGCAACTGTGAAAAATTGGTTTGGGTCGGTACTAGGTGACATTTTCCATCATCGAAAATGTGTTTGTGAAACATGGAGGAGCCTGCCCCTTGTTCATCAACCAGTGAGAAAGGAACAACCAGGGAGTGGAGATCCCTGCAATTTCCAGGCAAATTCTCAGACTGGGCTATGGCTGAAGATCAGGGCAACCAATCTAGACAGTCGAAAATTGCATTTTTGGCGTTTTCGGCATTTGGGACAGGGTATACCAACATAGTCCTTCCCATGGTTTTAAGTAAATTTCTGGGTGCTGAACCAATCTGCACATTATATTATATGCCAAAAAGTAATGCTACACTGCCACACTACAGCTCTTTTCTAAATCTATTGTATACTGTTTTCAATGAATACTGCATAGACTAAAAGAGCTTTCTTATTTAGTAATTACGTGCTCTTTCAAAGGGACCTCACACGTTTGTAAGCATTTTCAAAGGAATACTGCACCCATGAAAGAGTCTTGCAAAGTATGCTAGTTTAAAGCACTGTTCCATTTTCTCATACTTTTCGTAATCGAATGATGCAAAGAGTGATGCTGCGCTACTACATGTGCTTAAGAATACAACACACATCAAAAGAATGCTGCGTCCATTCAAAGACTTTCTTTCAAGGCAAGACATGTTCAAAGTACTACTACATCTATCCCTTTGAAAGAAATAGTACAATCTTTTTAAACATGCTCCAGCATTTGATGCAATATGTCCGATACTCTTTCAAAAGAGTACTGCATCCATTTAAGGACTTTCTTTACAGGTAAGACTCTTTCAAAGTACGACTATTGCATCTATTGATGCATTCTACTACACAGAAACAGTACATTCTTTTACATTTTACTACACAGAAACAGTACATTCTTTTACATTATACTAATACTACTCTTTGAATCAAATACTGCATCCAATGAAGGACTTTCTTTACAGGTAAGATTTTTTCAAAGTCCTGCAGCATCCATTAAAGCATTGTGTTACAAAGCAATGTTACATGTTCTCAAATAAATAGCCCACCATTCCCCCCAAAGTATCCAACAGTGTCAGTTTCCAGGTACTTATATACTTTGTTTGAATATTTCAAACCTAGACAGCAATGTGTATGTACGAATCCAAGGTTCCAAGATTCCAAGATTTGCACTTTCAAGTGCATAAACATCACTGCACATCCTATGCCAAGTTTAGTCTCACATAGTGCGCAAGCTCTTGAGTGAGAAACGTTGGTCAAAGTTTGACTTCCCAGGACCGACAAGGTAAGCAAACATAAGGACACAGATGGCAATCATGTGAATCAATAGACAAATCCAAAAAAAAACAAAGAACTCGAGCAAAACCAAAACAACAAAAAACAAAACTTTTCAGAGAATGGTTGGTTTTGACTCAAAAGATGTTTTTTTGGGTTTCCCCTGTTTTTTTTTGAAATGAAAACAACAACAAAAAACGAGTTTTTTGTTTTTTTGAATGGATATAATCAATCAAAATATCAAACAAAACCCAAAAACTCTAGCCTTTTTTGGTTCTTGAGACTTTTCAATGCAGAAAACAACACCTAAAATGTTAAAAAAACAAATAATCCTTAAGTTTTATTTTTTTTTTGATATCTTGATTGATCATATCCATTCAAACAACCAAAACAACAAGGTTTTTGTTTTTTCCATTTCAAAACAAAAAAACATAGGGACAACCAAAAAAACATTTTTTGAGTCAAAACCAAACATTCTCTTAAACAAATGTTTTTTGTTTTGCTTGAGTTTTTTTAAAGTTTTCCAGGTTTTGTTTGTTTTTCTCGACGTGGCCCAAGACAAGTATGGTTGTAGGCATTATTGGCTGCATGAAAGGGTGAAGCAGATGATAGGGTGAAGCAGACCAGGGGGTGAAGTGGTCAGATAAAAGTTTTAAATCAGTCATTGCCATTGAACGATATAACAATAATGCATTAGATATTATAATTACAATCCAAATATATTGAACATCCAAGTGCAGAAACCTGCCCCCATGAGCGCCTCTTTTGCGAGTATTGTTTTTCCGGTTATGTTTTATATGCAAACATGGTGATCCCAATATAAAATGCGTCTAGGCAGATCATGGGGGGGTGACCATATATATATATTATATATATATATTATATATATTATATATATATTATATATATATATATTATATATATGCAGTTTTTCCCATGGTTAATTGGGTTCCTACTTCTAAGCTTAGGGGTCTACCATAGGGATTTTGACTTAATAGTGAATCTTGGTGATTTTGACGGGCTAAAACCATCGAGAAATGGCGATGGTTCTCAGAACAGTTGGATGCGAAGTCCTTCCGTCTGGTCTAAATCTCCCTTCACTGGATTTGGGTATATACCTCCCCAGAACTCCATCATTCCATGAGTCACACATTTCCTAAAGTTTGTTTCGGAATGGCACGGAATGGCTTCGCTCTACAGCTGGCTTTCCAAGACTATTTTGTTGGTACAACAAAAACGGAGCATCATCCATGTGTAGATGGATCTATGTAGTTGGCTGGCGGCTTCTAGAACGCCGGCTTTCGTGTGCTTTCGTGCCTGTGGGGTGGGGTGGGGTGGGGTGGGGTGGGCAATAACGTCTTGTTCACACTGCTTCTAACACGCTCTTGATGCTACGCTCTTCACTTCTTCACGTACCTTCCAACACGCTCTTGATGCTACGCTCTTCACTTCTTCACATACCTTCCAACACGCTCTTGATGCTACACTCTTCACTTCTTCACGTACCTTCCAACCCGCTCTTGATGCTAGGCTCTTCACTTCTTCACGTACCTTCCAACACGCTCTTGATGCTAGGCTCTTCACTTCTTCACGTACCTTCCAACACGCTCTTGCTGCTACACTCTTCACTTCTTCACGTACCTTCCAACCCGCTCTTGATGCTACGCTCTTCACTTCTTCACGTACCTTCCAACACGCTCTTGCTGCTACACTCTTCACTTCTTCACGTACCTTCCAACCCGCTCTTGATGCTAGGCTCTTCACTTCTTCACATACCTTCCAACACGCTCTTGATGCTAGGCTCTTCACTTCTTCACGTACCTTCCAACACGCTCTTGATGCTACGCTCTTCACTTCTTCACGTACCTTCCAACACGCTCTTGATGCTACACTCTACCCTTCTTCACGTACCTTCGAACCCGCTCCTGATGCTAGGCTCTTCACTTCTTCACGTACCTTCCAACACGCTCTTGATGCTAGGCTCTTCACTTCTTCACGTACCTTCCAACACGCTCTTGATGCTACGCTCTTCACTTCTTCACGTACCTTCCAACACGCTCTTGATGCTACACTCTACACTTCTTCACGTACCTTCCAACACGCTCTTGATGCTAGGCTCTTCACTTCTTCACGTACCTTCCAACAAAATCTTGATGCTACGCTCTTCACTTCTTCACGTACTTTCCAACACGCTCTGATGCTACACTCTACACTTCTTCACGTACCTTCCAACACGCTCTTGATGCTAGGCTCTTCACTTCTTCACGTACTTTCCAACACGCTCTTGATGCTAGGCTCTTCACTTCTTCACGTACCTTCCAACACGCTCTTGATGCTAGGCTCTTCACTTCTTCTTCTTTCACCTTCCAACACGCTCTTGATGCTACGCTCTTCACTTCTTCACGTACCTTCCAACACGCTCTTGATGCTACGCTCTTCACTTCTTCACGTACCTTCCAACACGCTCTTGATGCTACGCTCTTCACTTCTTAACGTACCTTCCAATAAGCTCTGGATGCTAGGCTCTTCACTTCTTCACGTACCTTCCAACACGCTCTTGATGCTAGGCTCTTCACTTCTTCACGTACCTTCCAACAGGATCTTGATGCTACGCTCTACACTTCTTCACGTACCTTTCAACACGCTCTTGCTGCTACACTCTTCACTTCTTCACGTACATTTCAACACCCTCTTGATGCTAGGCTCTTCACTTTTCACGTACCTTCCAACACGCACGTACCTTCCAACACGCTCTTGATGCTACGCTCTACACTTCTTCACGTACCTTCCAACACGCTCTTGATGCTAGGCTCTTCACTTCTTCACGTACCTTTCAACACGCTCTTGCTGCTACACTCTTCACTTCTTCACGTACCTTCCAACACGCTCTTGATGCTACGCTCTTCACTTCTTCACGTACTTTCCAACACGCTCTTGATGCTACACTCTACACTTCTTCACGTACCTTCCAACACGCTCTTGATGCTAGGCTCTTCACTTCTTCACGTACTTTCCAACACGCTCTTGATGCTAGGCTCTTCACTTCTTCACGTACCTTCCAACACGCTCTTGATGCTACGCTCTACACTTCTTCACGTACCTTTCAACACGCTCTTGATGCTACTCTCTTCACTTCTTCACATGCATTCCAACACCCTCTTGATGCTAGGCTCTTCACTTTTCACGTACCTTCCAACACTCTCTTGATGCTACGCTCTACACTTCTTCACGTACCCTTCAACACGCTCTTGATGCTACTCTCTTCACTTCTTAACGTACCTTCCAATAAGCTCTGGATGCTAGGCTCTTCACTTTTCACGTACCTTCCAACACGCTCTTGATGCTACGCTCTTCACTTCTTCACGTACCTTCGAACCCGCTCCTGATGCTACGCTTTTCACTTCTTCACCTACCTTCCAAAAGAAAAAACACAGACTTGGAGTCTGACACAAAGAAATTCAAAAAAAAGACGTGGTTTGTCGCGGGATTTAACAAAGTCAAAAAAAAGGACCCAGGCACAAATCCTTGAGAAAACACACGCAAAATGAACTCGCCACGGTTGGAAAAACAGGCGGCGTTCTGTGAGCCGCTTACCATGTAGTTATATGTATATAGCTGTTCAACATGTTGGTGTTGCCTGGCTATGTTGACCGACTGAAGGGTATGGTTTGCATGGCTTAATCGGCGTCCCCCGCAGTTGAACAAAACAAATGCAATCACTTGTTCATGCTTTTGCATCCTTTTGCAATAGATATTCCACACAGCTACTACTTTAAAATAGAAGAAGCAAACAAGTTTCAGCATGGACTTTGAAGTTTTTTCAAAGCAAAATCCTCCAACGTATGCCTTGCGTAGCGATATTTTTCAAAGATTACAGTCCTTGCATAAAGCGGCATCATTTTGTACAGTCCCCTCATATAAAGGAGTTGCAGCACTCTTTGAACGGAATATAAGGTTATTCTAAAGGATACTTACAGCTTTAAAGAGGTAGAGGAATCTATGCAAGGATGACAGCATGATTTCAGAATGGAATCCTTTGAGTATCTATGTTAAATCATTGTGGTATTGAGAAAAGAAAGTGTTGGTGCAAGTATGGGCAAAGCTCCCTTCACGAAGGGGGTGAACCATTTAATTGAAAAGCATGCAATAATACCCAGAAACATGACTATGAAATAGAGCCCTTGGGTGTATGTAGTATTTTTTGAGAGAAACAGGTCATGGTTGTATGTATGCAATACGCTAAAGGTACATTACAAGTATATCAAAGTATTAATACAGGTATATTCAGGGTATACGCATGTTATATGAGACGGTATATTAAATGGTATTGTCAAGGTATATTAGATTGCTTTTCAAAGGTATATGGAAGGTATAATTAAAAAAACATGTTTTCATGGTCAATAAAATGGTATATTGAAGGGATATCGAAAAAACAAAGGTATATTCATGGTATATTAAATGATACACTCAAGGTATATGACATTGTCTATCAACAGCATTTCAAGAGGGATATGCAAAGTTCTTAAAGATATATTAAAGGTATGTTAAAGGCATGTTAAAGGTATATCAAAGGTAGATTCTAGGTATATATAAATATATCAAATGATATACTAAAGGTATATTAAATTGTATATTACAGGTATAGTATAGATGTATTAGATGGCATTCAAAAGTTATATCACAGGGATATTATAGGTGTCCTAAAGGTATGTTAGAGGCAAGAACATGGCCAATAAAATTGTATTTATACAGGTATACTAAAGGCATATTAGATTGCATATAAAACATTGAAGGTGTATTGCATTGTCTTTAAAAGACATATTTAAGGTATCTTGAAGATATTTTCATAGTCAATGGAATGGTTTGTTCAAGATATATTGAAGCTATAGTAAAGGTATAGTCATTGTATTTTAAAATGTTTGATCAACGCATTATTCTGAATTACTCTGCTACCTCTACCTCATCAAAAAAAGCAGAAAACCATTGTCATACAAGAGGAGAGACAGGAAGGATGAGCTTCATTAAAGCCTGTATTGCATCCTTTCACACATGATAGTTTTCTTGCAAGAATAGTGTTTCTTGTTTCAGGGAATAGTTTGTCTTCAATGCAGATTGTAACCTGTAAGCAGCATTTTCTTGTAACAACATTTTTCTGCAAATCAAATGCTTTGAACACTTGTTTTTTCCCATCTTGTCAATGTTTATTTCTGCATCTCCAAAGTGACATCAACCTTTTTATGAGCAGAGAGCACCAAAAGGGTCTTGCATCGTGATCAAAGGTGGGCCATGGGGAAAGATAAGGTAAAACCTTCATTGGGGATCATTGGGGTAGATCATGGGGGGTGAGCATATATAGTATATTATATATATACTATATATACTATATATATATACTATATGCAAGCGGTAGAAGTGCTCAAGTAGGATATGAAGAGTCACTGGAATCGATTGGACAAGGAGGGGTGATCAACGCCTCATGAAACTCGCTCCGCGGCTCTTTTCAGCCAATACTTCACGGAATAGGCATGTCAACGCCTATGAGTGCTGTGGTAAAAACAGCATGCCCCCCGCATCTTCTTTCTCCTTATGAGATGGTGATGCTACCCCTTGAACATTTTCTCCAAAAACCAAAACCAAGACAAGGAACAAAACCAAACAAGACGAAAAATCATTCCGTGGGTTTCCATGGTGTCTCAGGCTTGATTTCTGGCCCTTGACTCTTTCTGTTTTCAAGAGGCTCCAGGCCTAGCAGTTTCCTTTTCCGAGCTGACGCTCTTTCTTCATCTTCGACTATGCGCCACTTGTGGCCCATGCGGTAGAACAGGTGCAGTTGCTTGTGCTCGTTGCTCTTGGTCAGTCCGTTTGATAGCTGAGCTTCACTATGAACCCACCTAATCTCCACAGCATTGCGAATCTGGGCAGATTTCAAGGAGAGTAACTCCAGGTCTGTTCTCTTCTCAGCGCCCTTTACGGACAAGACCTCGGTCTCTAACTTGTCGTACACATTCCTGGAGTCAGTAACCAGGCATCCACTGATCTGGTTGACGACACTGTTGATGTCTCTCACGTTGACTTGAGCTCCCATCATTTCTGCCAGTTGGAATCTCGCAAAAAAGAGGAGATCTTCTCCGTTGTTTGCTGCTGCTGCTTCTGCTGCTCCGGGGCTGCGGCAGATTCTGCCAATCTTCTGCGAATGCCAGGCGACAAAGGTGACTGGCTCACAACTGCCATGACGCAACCGGTGAGATGAAATTCCAACTATAATGCCTTGTGTGCTTGAGCCATCTACGCGGTTCTGAGAGGCGGCATCTACCCATGCAAACAGTGACAACATGTGTGGCTCTATGGCATGTACCTTCATGCAGTGTTCTTTCATATCTTTGACCTTATCAAGTAACCTGTTAGCCTTGTAAATGGTCTCGATAGTACTCTTGTTCACCTCTGACAACAGCAAGCCGACTTCAGCACTGAAGTGTGGCGCTACTTGTTGTGCGTGCCATGAGACCCCTCCCAGCAAGGCCCGAAGCTGTGTTTTCTCAGACTCCTCAGTGGGTGCATTTCGGTCTTTCTTTCTAAAAGCTCTCAGGTTGATATATTTCAAGTCTTCAACATACTTCGGTTGTGACAACGAAAAGGAAAAATCTTCATGTTGTTCCACTTGAACTCCGCATTGGGTAAACCTTTTTTCTTCCCAATCTCCCCATTTATATTCCGTTTGGATACTCTTGAGAACAGTACACCAACCCTCATGCGTTTCATCCCCACTAAAAAGGAAATCATCAACATGGCCAGAAATAATCCCTTTTGTAACCCCATCAACCACATAAACCCAGCAGCATGCGTCACTCCAGCATTTTTGCAATCCAAGTTTTGCAAAGAAATCTGAGATGGAACGATACCATTCCAGTGGCGCATCAACTAAGCCATAGCAGGCTTTCTTCACTTTGGTGATTGACTCTGCTGGGAGTCCCATCTTTTCACAGATCTCTGGGCATGGTATACAAAAAAGGTCATCAGGGTATGGCCTGCTTTGCAGGAAAGCACCTGTCACATCACCTTTTCGCATCTTGTGGCGACATGAAGCGGCTAATTGCATCTGCAGTTGCCTGGTCTGGCGAGTCGTGGTTGGAGAAGTCGTTGCTCTCTGTTCATAGCAGGGATCTTGGTACCCTAAGAGAACGGCTCTGGCTTTCGCCTTTCGGCTGCCATCCTCCTTCTGCTTCCATGTCAGTATCCACCGCATCTTCACTGCTTGTTCGCGTGCTGGGCGAAGTTTCTCTGGAAGGGCTTCAAAAGCCTTGGCAGCTATGAAGTTACTTACTTCCACGGCCTTTGCAGATCGGAACTGTTGTCGCTCTTCCTCAGATAGGTGACGTTCACAGACTTCAACTGCTGACCGTTTCTTCAAGCTACTGGCAAAGTAAGAAGGGAGATCTCGGAGAGCTCGTTCAGATCCAGCACGTGTGTCTGGCATGGGAACCTCCACGGCCACGGCCGCGGTCTCATCCATCCAGAAGGTGCACTCGGTGGCTGCAAACACTTCCTGGACACCTGACTGGTTCCACCATGGTGGGGCAGCAGCCATGCCTTGTTGGGCGCTCATTCGAGGCCTCTGCGACACGGGTGCCCCTGAAGATGTAGAAGGCGTAGGCCTGGAAGTTGGACTCCTGGATCGCCCTGTTGGCCTGGATGTTGAAGGAGCCGGTTCCATGCCACTCATCTCATCTACCATGGGGCCTCGTTTTCTTGCACATCGTCTCATTGGTTGCCATTCTTGGACTGGATCTTGAGCTCGTAGCCATTCTGCATAAGAAGGTACTTCGGTGGACACATCCAGAAACTCGTTCCCTCCTAGTTGTTGAGCTACTCTATCAAAGTCCCAGTCATCATATTGCTTGGCATGGAGTTCTTCTAAGAGGACCTCCCGCTCGGAGGCTCGACGTAGTTGCTCTGGGGAGCACTTGAGAAGTCTTCTCCCTCTGACGCACCAAATTGAGCTGCCCTGCTTGAGGGTCCCGTCGGGAGAGCGATGTTGCTCCACCGCCAGGATGCGGGCTGGCCCCACAAACGAGCCACCTTTAATGGCTGCTTGGCCGCTCACTTGCTTTCTCCACACATACACTAGGTCTCCTGGCTCATAGTTGGTGACATCTCTGGGTTTTGAGTTCTTGGCTTTTTGGAGTCTCTGGCTTGCCGTCCATTCTAGGAAGGCCTTTTCCGCACTTTGCATTCGCTGGAGCTGGCGATCCATCTCGCCAGAGGCATTCTCTACCAGCAGCTCTGGACATTCACTGGGGCCGCAAGGGAAAAGTCGCCCGGTAGCATCAGGCGCACGGCCAAGGGCATGTTGGATGGGCGAATAGCCTCGGATCAGTTCTCGGCTATTAAAGGTCCTAGTGGCTTCAGCCAAAGCTTCTGCTGCGGTGACTTCTGGGTCATCTTCAGCTATTTTGTTCATGAGAGTCTTGGTACCCTGAATAGCCTGTTCACAAATGCCCACCTTCCAGTGAGCTTCACCCGGAATAATGTCCAACATTATTTGGTGCCTATCACAGTATTCTTGAACCACATGACTCCTGAAGCTACCATCCGGATCAACCCTGAGCTGATTAGGAAAACCAAAATACTGAACCCAATGTTCCCCAAACGTTTCAACAAACTGATTGGCAGTAAGGTGACTTCTTTTCCCCGTACCCAATAGACCGAATTAGACAAAAAACTACAAAATAGATAGATCGTAAAAATCTATAGATTTCTATCTATTAGACAATTTCGATTTTATCTATTATCTTATGTTTTCTTGCAAATAGATTATTTTTTTTAAACTATTATAGATAAATCTGTGTTTTTTCGTCTATATAGAGAGTTTTTTTAATCTATATAGAGAAAAATCTTGAAAATAGATTAAGCTAAATTTTGTCTATTTTGTTGATCTTTCATGGTTTTGACCATGCCAAAATTCAACCGTTACCTTCGAAGTTTGCTCGTGATTCGTTCGAAGTTTAACTTCGAAGTTTATACGTAGTTTATTCGAAGTTTTTACTTTGGAATCATTTTTGTTAGTTTTTCTCAGACTAAAAACTTTCAAAACAATGAAACACACATGGTTATGTTGTATATGTGAACTTGTTCGATCTGTGTGCTTGCATACATGGCATTTGAACTTTTGCTGTGGCATATCTTTGGGTGGATTCATTCTGCCACAATCGAAGGTTTCACCTTCGCAAGAGGTTACTGTCACAGTAACCCTGCACTGCACAAGGAAGGTCTTGGAAGGTATTCCCCCACAATATTTTTTTAAAGATATTCCGTTATACAGCATCCCTGGGAAAACTCCTTCACACAAGTATCTCTGAAACTTTTCCCTCACAGTGAAACTCACAGGTATCTCCAGGTATTACCTCGCAGTATCTCTCTGGAAGTATTCCCTCACAGTATCTCTCTGTAAGTATTCCCTCACAGTATCTCTGAAAGTATATTTTACCTCGCAGTATCTCTCTGGAAGTATTCCCTCACAGTATCTCTGAAAGTATATTTTACCTCGCAGTATCTCTCTGGAAGTATTCCCTCACAGTATCTCTCTGGAAGTATTCCCTCGCAGTATCTCTGAAAGTATATTTTACCTCGCAGTATCTCTCTGGAAGTATTCCCTCACAGTATCTCTGAAAGTATATTTTACCTCGCAGTATCTCTCTGGAAGTATTCCCTCACAGTATCTCTCTGGAAGTATTCCCTCACAGTATCTCTGAAAGTATATTTTATTTCGAAGTATCTCTCTGGAAGTATTCCCTCACAGTATCTCTGAAAGTATATTTTACCTCCCAGTATCTATCTGGAAGTATTCCCTCACAGTATCTCTCTGGAAGTATTCCCTCACAGTATCTCTGAAAGTATATTTTACCTCGCAGTATCTATCTGGAAGTATTCCCTCACAGTATCTCTCTGGAAGTATAACCTCACAGTATCTCTCAAAGTATGTACCTCGCAGTATCTCTCTGGAAGTACTCCCTCACAGTATACCTCTGCAACTCTGCAAATATTCCTTCACTCTGCAAAATTCCTTTTCACAGTATTGTTTGAAAAGGCTTGCCTCGCATAATATGTTTCCCAGTATATTCCCTCAGTATATCTTACCAGTAAAATTTTCAGGTATTTCTCTCAAAACATGAAACAACACCCAAGCAATCTATTTCATTTTTCCCTTAAAACGAAAACCGCTGTAAGTGTACATGTTCTGAAAAATATGCCTGCCTCAATATAAATTCACCAGATGAACATTATATTCCATATGGGCGTGACTTGGAGACTTTTAGCAAAACACTTGCATGCAGTTTCGTCATGTTCACGGCGCGGTTAAATCTGAAAATAAATAAGTTGGAGATTAAACTATATATATAATTTCAACAAAATTTCATCTCAGATAATAGAGATGGGACCTTGTAAGAATCAGTGCACCATATGACAAACCCTCAATGAACCTTATGGGCGCATTGTCAGTGTACAAGTTACCACGTGAGAGACCTGGAGTGACCATGAGAGTCCAACCTCTTTGCATACCCCAGATGTCTCCTTGTTTTCACACATGTTCATGACAGTGAAGGCGATCTTGTGAGACTACGTGCACCACATGAGAGACCCAACTATGAGCGCGATGTGAATTTACAAGTTACCATGAGAGACTTTGAGTGATCTGGAGAGTCATTACATCTGTTTTGAGTTTGTCATTATAAGGGTTATGGGAAAATGTTTTGTGATGAATCATGCTGTGGACAGTTTCAGTGTAGCAAAGAGATTACATGAACGTGTTGTCATCAAAAATGCAAATATTGTCATTTTTCCACTGTCAAGAGCTGTTGAGAGTTCATGAAAATTGTTCTAAATGCACTGCATGACTTAGCATTTTTACCGGAAGCATTTTCCATTTTCAATATACCCACATAGACAGAGGGTAGATTTGTTTGCCTCCCACCTCGCTTCCCGCAATGGTGTGGATGAAAGATGACATGAAGTTTGTGAAGAAGAAACCAAAAAGCTTCAAGGCTGTGTATGAGGACAACCCCAAGGGCCCTACTGCTTTGAAGCATCCCTTGATGCCATGGCCTCCTGGAACCGCCAAAGGAGAGTCCAAGGGCCGAAAGCAGGACCATACGAAGAAGGTCAACAAGAAGAATGACAACATGGATGAGAATACTGTGCAGTACAGTGTGGACAGCGCAGGCGTCCCATACCCAAGAAGCTTGTGGGAAGCTACTGTGGAGTACCACGACTACGTGCAGTGGAATGAATCTTTTGGCGTGCCAGTTGACACTTTCGATGTCTTCTTGAACGACTACCCCAAGGCAGTGAAAGACAATATTATGAAAGAGTATGCCGAGGACTCTAAAAAATGAGGTGGCCAGCAACAAGAACATGGCCGTTTTGACTTCATATAGTCATAGCTTTGGAAAACTCTAGAGTCGTGACCATGTCCAAATGGAAAGACTTGTGATGCGATGCCATGGTGAAAATGAAACCGGAGATGATGCCAAGCTTCAGGGTTTTCAGGAAATGATACCATCCAGTTGTGAAACCAACAAGGAATTCAAGTACACATGAAACGATACTTTTACATGTATTTTTGAAATAATGTTCTTCTAAATGGAATCCCACCAACGGTGTTTTTGGAGAAAGAAACTTGTGTCAGTTGCTTGCGTACTCTGAGAGTTTGTACTGTGAGAGTTAATTTGCTTTTGCACTTTGAGAGTCGCTTTGAAACGAGTTTCTGGTGAGGGATCATTTTGTATATAGGTGTGATCAAACATCGATATAGGTGTGATCAAACAGAGCTATTTGCTGAACGACATTTGAAAGATATACATCTTTTTCACAGACCATTGGTCCAAGCTATGGTGTATAGACAAGATGCTGTCGCAGACTCCGAAACGTTTAGTCGCAGATCCCTTGGTGGGGGTAGCAGACCTGATGCAGCCAGTAGAAAATCTGCTGCAACGAGAGAAAGGGATCAACCTCGCAAAGTACATCCAGCCGCCGTCTGGTGTTTCTTGGAAAAGTGCTGTTCCCGTTGAGTGGCTCTGCAAACACCAGGAGCTCTTGACGGACTACATCAACATCTCAAAGAACACCATCATCAGTGGCAAAAAGCACAAGTTAGCCCTTGAGAAGCTTCATCATCAGCATGACATACTTGGAGGTCGCAAGTCCACTCAAGATGCCGTGGACTACGTGGACGACACCATCCGCATGGCTTTAAGCCATTTGCGCCAGATGTGCCAAGTGGTTCAGAAAAAGGATACGACGTACCGAAAATGCAGTCCAGCGATGCAAGAAACGTTGGAAAAGTTGCTGGTGAAAATCGACTTTGGCCCGCAAGAATCCTGTACGGACATGGTCCCCTACGATGGCGATGCCCGTGGAGGTGACCAAGGGCAAGGTAGACCGAGTTTTTCGAGGGCAGGGAGCTCAAGGGATGATTTGGGCGCCTCAGGTGGCAATGCTTTGGCGTCAGGGCCAAATAGGAACAGTGAGGTGGAGATCGGAGAGAATGTGAAGTTGAGAATCTTTGGAGAGAAGCCTGAAAGTGTTTTTGACAGGATCTTGAGCAAGAAGCCGAGCGACGCAACAACTCCAACGAAGAAGTTGACCCAGAAGAAGAAAGAGGACACGCCCAGTCCTGGAGACCCCTTTGTCTGCAGCTTGGAGAAATTACCTGGAGATGATGATCTTTTGAAAAAGGCAGCAGAGGTGCCACCTCTTACCAAGGGTGGAAAGTCTCAGCAGCAGAGGCTAAATTCAGCAAAAAAGATGAAAAGGCCAGCAGCATCCAAGCCAGGAAAGGAGGAGAAGAAGTGCAAGAAGCAGAAGACCCTTGACCACACCCAGGGTGAGGACAAGGAGGATGAATGCCCACCTCAGAATGCGAAGAGGCCGGCTGCTTCCACGAAGATGCAGAAAACAAAAAACGATAGCGAGAAGAAAGGCAAAAAGAAGATGGGCCCACCTTCCGACCAGCTGGACCCTAGCAAGCCAGCAGATCGTGCGATTTTGAGGAGAAGAGCAGATTCAGATGCCTGGCACAACACCTTCAAGCAAGAATTCGCCAAGAATGAAGATGAGGACAAAAGCAAGGAGTTGGCAAGAGCAGCTGCAAGGAAGGCAAGAGAAGAGTTTGATCGAAAGCATCCAAAGCAACCAGCGACTTCAAAGGCCAAGGCAAAGGCAAAGGCAAGCCCGAATACGAAGAAAAAGGTTCAGGCAAAGTCGAAGGCAAACAAGAAGGAGAAGGAGATCACACCGGCAGAGGATATCAACGTTCAGCCTCCAGATGTTTCACAGGAGAAGACTTCATCGACGGGCCCACAGGACATCGACTAAACCTCATGCTCCATGAGGGTAGATACAGATGGTAGACCGGACCAATGGTACATACAGTGTGCTTTGGGTGTGAGCCTCTAAAAGGGAGCTCTTTGAACCCACCCTTGGCATATTGACAAATCAATTGGGGTTTTGACTTGCGGTGCAGATCACGACAAAAAGGTG